ATATGACCACGATGGCCTCTTTTACTTTGATTTTTTTGTTGCTCTGTTTATTGTGTCCCCAAGGACTTGAGAAAGAGCATACAGCTGACTCTGCCAAAGAAAAGCATAAATATATCTTCAAACATTAGAATGCAGTTACTCCTGGCTGATATTTTCCCTTTCCTAGGAAAAGGCAGTATTGCATCTGTGTGGAATGATGCATTAGAGGAACTAAATGACTACACGATAAATACTAATCATTCAGCTTGCTTCGTGTGTGGAAGAATGTAGCCTTGGCCTATTAGACCAAATCCTTCTTTTTTTCATGTTTGTTTCTTTTGGTTTTTCGGTACCAGGGATTGAACTCAGGACCTTGCACTTGCCTGGCAAGTGCTTATTCTACTGAGCTATCTCCCTGGCCCAATCAGATCAAATCCTAACTTGGCCCATTACCAACTGAGTGGTTAGATTCTCCAGACTCCAGGTTCTTTGGATGGACAGTGAGGTTAATAATGCCTGCCATATAGGACTATTGGAAGGATGAAGTAGGATCCAGTGTCTTAAAGATCCTTCCTTTTCCTTTCTTAAAATTAAGCAGCTTAATTTGGGGGAATTGTAATGTAGTAGCTCACTCAAGCAGAATAGAGATCCAGTGAAATCGGGGTACTTGGGGCATACTGATTTACTGCCTTCCTTCTGGCAAGTAACAATAATGGATTATGACACATCTGTGTGCAAATGGATTTATGCTTTTACAAAGGACTTCGACATTTTCTCTTCTGGCCTGGGAAACAGCTCTGATGTGAGAGTCAGGAAACTCATCTGACAGATGTAGAATTGATGATCCGAAAGTTTAAATGTCTTACCCGGAAACAAGACATATGAACTCAAAATTGACTGTTAAGACTTTTGACCCAAGCGTTCACTACACTGTGGCTGCTTCCTTTTCTGGGCCTCAAAGCTCTCCCTAAGGCCACACCCTGTGCGTTGAGGGAAGGATGCTAACAAGAGCAGCTGTTTACTTCGTGCAGTGTGCTATCCCAGGTGCTGACAGGCATGTTTCCTGGGGGTTGTCTTCCCATGATTCATTGGCCTGCAGCACTCTTGTTCTTGTCTTCCAGAGTGAAGACTTCAAATCAGTAGATGAGGTGAGCCCATTTCCAATATCTGCTTTTTTAATGATTTGTCTTTTTATTATTATTATTTTAGTTATATTTAGGAAGTTCAAAATGTATCAAGAGAGCCATTTGAAAGCCGATGGGAGGGATTATTCTTTATCTTTCCATTAGTGCCTTCCATAAAGCTAAAAAGAAGGACTCTGAGATAAGAGGGATTTACTTGGGATCTTCTCAGAGCAACCTGTCTGTTTCTTTGCTAACACAAAGGACAGACCTGAAAAAAAATTGTGTAGCTTCTCATAACCCAGAACTGGTAAGCCTGAAGATCTAGCAGGCTGCTGACACTTTGGTTGTCACACAAAATATATTTCCAGTGTTTGGAAAAATTTTATTTGGTTTGTGTTTGTCTTGCTCTTTGTTTTATATTTTAAATGTTTCACTGCTGTTTTGCAAATAAAAACAGTCTGTAACATAGAGTCATTTGGTGATGGAAGATTATAATATTTCTTTATCCTTCCTCCAAGACAGGGTTAACTGTGCATTATGCATGGTGGTATGTGGTCATTTTTAATATTTAAATGGCATCTCCATCAAAGATTAAAATTTATAAAATTCAGTGAGATTCCCAAGAAAAAGGATGGGAAGCCACTTCGACTTTCAGATGCCATAAAACGCATTCCAGACTGAGAAATTAAAATATTGGAGATCCGTTGGAATACCATAAAACATACAGAAGAAACCCCCCAACACACACACACAGCCACACACACACACACACACACACACACACACACACTCACCCCTTTTGCATTAACAGACCATGAAGTTAATTTCAAAATGTAAGGTTTCATTTTGTGTTTAAATACTTAGAATGAAATCTTAAGGCTCAGTGTCTCGACCAAGCAATCGAATAATGATGGGGACACAGTAGTGATCGATTGTTAGTGAAGGCAAACAGTGCTCACGCTCGTGCTAATCTTTACCTTGAAACACCGTCCAAGCATCGCCAAGATGATCTGGTTACCCCTCCGCACCTCCCTCCAGAGAAAGCTGTTATTATTTCCATCTTGAAAACTAATATAATATCTAGTCTCGATTTTCAAGTGTCATTTCTTCTGAGAAGCTCCATTGTTTGTTTTCTTGTTCCTCTCAGAATATATCTGTTATCCCAAATTAAGTAATTTTGTAGTCAGAGGCAGGATCGTGCATTTCTATGAATGATTGATTGAAATTCAATGTTTTTGAAGCATTTTAATCAGATACCCCCATGAAATTATGAAATGTGCCCAAATATAGAAATATAAAAGGATCAGTAACAAAATAAATATCATTAGAAACTCCAGTGCTTTTTTGAGCTTTCCTGGGTTTATGAATCGTCTTCTGGAGAGGAGAATGGGAAGAAGTACCAGGGAAGAAATTAACACGGTTCTTTTCTGCCCTCTGTCAAATAAGCCCCCAAAGCTGCAGCTCTCAAAGAAATTCTACTTCTAGCTAAAGCATAGTATAACAGAAGAGTGGAAAGAAAAGATAAAGAAGGGGGAAAACAGGAAATGATAGAAATACTCAATAGATACTGTACATATATTTTTTTAATTTTAATTTTTGTTTTCACTTGTGCGTAGTAATTGTGCATACTTATGGGGAACAGGGTGATGTTTTGGTCCATATGTACTAAACTTCAATGTCATGACATAGGAAGTGTCCAGAGCACTGCTGCATTCATTGCCAGGGCTGCCATACTAAAATGCCACTGGCCGAGAGGCTTAAATAGAAAAAGTATTTCTTCAAACTGCTGCACGCTAGAAGCCCAAGATCAAGGTGGTGGATGCTCGGTCCCCCCTGCAGCCTTTCCCCTGGGTTGCAAATGTCTGTGCTTCTGGCGCATCCTTGCCTGGGCATTCTGGCTGTCAGTGTGCCTTGCTTTCCTCTTATGATCACACCGATCAGGTTGGATTAGGACTCGTGGGAAAGACCTCATTTAATTCAATCGCCTCTTTAAAGGCCCTATCCTCCATCATAAGTTGTAAAACATCATGAGATAGCGCTTCAACATGTGAATTAATGCAGTCTGTAGCAAGTCTTGTGCCTTCAGTCTAGGTAACTAAGAACATGGACTAGCACACACTCAACTTCCTGCAGAAATTATCAAAAGTGCTTTTTTCAGCCAGATACATTCAGGTGAGCTGAGCTGCCTTCAGTGCTCTATCACGGTAGTCCCCAAAGGTGATTTTCACAAACCCACTTGAGCTTTCTCCCAAAACTTTCCTGGAGATTTTCCAAAGTCACCGAGACGAAGCTCTTTGTGTATCACAAGTCTCCAAAGTCCACTTACAGCGTAATTCTGATCATGTTGTTGTGGAAGAGCAGGTCATTGTCACTTCAGTCTTTCTATAAGATGACAAGTGACAGATCCAGTCATTTCTCTTTTCATCTTTTGCGAGAAGCAAGTATTACTCAAAGCTCTGAGACTGTCCTTGCTTGGTATCCGATGGCCACATGATAGCCTGTGTCACAAAAAGCATACGCATTTGCTCCAGGCTGGCACTCCAGGGTCACAGATTGGAGAGTCGACAGCCCCACCCGCTGCCAGGTGCACAAAGAGCAGTATATCCTTGGAAATGGCGTTTCAGCTGGTGAACAAGGTCTTCAAGAAGTTTTTTTTCAAAATCATCACCAAACATGAATATACATTTGCTACCACTCCAAAAAAAGTTGACATTCAAGGTCCTAATTTTAAACATGTGAATGGGGATTATTTTCACATTATATATGAAATCTGCATTTTAGAATATCATTACTAATTTCCTAGTCTCTTTAAATAACAAGCTTTGTGGTAGTATGACTTAACTGGGAGAACTGTGATCAGTGTGTATATATTGTATAATTCTGTCATAATACAAAGTCAGTAGAAATTCAGGCATGCATTCTTTCATTCATCAAGCACTTAGCCACCTAAGAACTGGACATAGTTTCAAACAGCAAGGACATATAAATGAATGGCTGGCCCACAGTTAACTGGAGAAGAGAAGAAAGCAAATAGGTACAACTTAGATAAAGCAGCAGTTCTCAAACTTGAACATGCATCAGAGTCATGCAAAGGAGTTATCCAAGCACAGATGTCTTGTGGCATGTGCTCCTCCACATTTTGGATTCAGTGAAGCTGGAAATTAACATTACAGCAGGTTGCTGCTACTGGCTCAGGGAGGACACTTTGAGAACCACTGATCTTGAGTGCCATATACCGGGATCTGTGGGAGGTGTTCTTAGTCCCCTTGGAGAGGGCTTCAGGGGAGTGAATTCTAAAAGACAATCAAGAAACAAAAAGATAGAGGGACTGAAACATACTGATCTTTATCGCTAAAGGACAAAAGTGGGAGAGCACGCACATTGTTTGAATAACTGCCAGTTATTTAGCTAGTACAAAGTTTGAGTTTGAAATGGATAATGGGATAAAATTAGAGTAATACACAAGGTTCATGAATATGATTGAAGACATTATCTGACTATGGCCCTGTAAGTGATTATGTAATCATTAATCTTCAGACTTGGAGCTCAAGTTGAAGCAAAGAATTGCAACAAAATTCTGATCACAGTTCATTGTCTTCCAAGGAGGCTTGTTTTTTAGCTGCTCAACTTTGGGAAAGAAACCAAATATCACTGGAGATGATGCAGTGATTGAAGAGGTTATTGGTTGCTTATTAGCAGACCTGAGTGGGGTATGCTTTGCCTACTGAGTACCTTAACCCACAGTTCCTCATGATTGTCTCTTGGAAAACCCTGAGCTTCACTCTTTTCTGATGGCCTTCCATCTCTCAGAAGTGAGGCCTTAGGAGGAGAGTGGGAGAGAGGAAGACAGTGCTAACACGGATGGTAGTGAAATCTGATTTCTTCCTTTCTCTCCAGGGGAAGATGATGACGAAGATGAATGTGGAGAGGAGAAGTTGCCCTCCTGTTTCGATTATGTGATGCACTTTCTGACTGTCTTCTGGAAGGTCCTGTTTGCCTTCGTCCCACCTACAGAATACTGGAATGGCTGGGCATGCTTCATTGTTTCCATTCTCATGATTGGCCTACTGACAGCATTCATTGGAGACCTGGCTTCCCACTTCGGCTGCACCATCGGCCTAAAAGACTCCGTGACTGCCGTTGTGTTCGTCGCACTGGGAACTTCCGTACCAGGTACAGGATGCTTTCATGTAGAAATCCTCCAGAAGGGGAGGTTCGTTTCCTCTCAACTCTTTTCTTCCTTTTAGTATTAAGCTCTGTGATAATAAGCCAGGCTTATAAAAGATCCGAGCCTAGAGCAGTCGCAGTGATCCTCTGTCACTCCTACCACAGCAGGTTGCTTGTTATCATGGAAAGCTCTTGAAGGTTCACCATCCCTGGCCTAGAGGTATAAATAATGGTTGCTGCTCAAGTGCAGTGTCAAAAAAATGGCACTCCTCATAGTTATAAAGCTGGTCAGCATCATCATGTTGATAGGAACACACTCTTAGAGTCTCTGTGACCTGCCTGCATGGTGAGAGCAGATCAGTTTGATGACCATGTTTTCTGATGTGTTTCCCCTTAGAGTGAGCACTTTCACAAACATAAAGCAAAACACAGAATCACTGTCAAGAATGAAATTCGTCAAGGGCCACTGAGACAGTGCCGCAGACTAAGTGCTTGCTTAGGCAAGCACAGGGACCACGGTTCAATCCCTGGTACCACATGCCACCACCACCCCCAGCACATGGAGCTGGCCACCAGACTGGGTGTGGTGGTGCACACCTGTAATCCCAGCACTGGGGAGGCTGAAACAGTGGAATCACTATAAGTCTAAACTGCATAGTGAGACCCTTTACCAAATACATAAAAAGTTGTCTTTCATACAGTTAGTGACATTTAGATAATATTCATGAAACTCTACACATTCTGATCACTGAAAAACACATTTACAGGATACCTGATAAAACATTTTCTTTAACCACATATTAAGGAGAGTGTCTAGGAAGTCGACATTGATATTAACATTGATTAGGGTAGAAAAAATAGTGACTAAAGTGAGTGATCAAGTAAATATTTCACATACATCTTTTTGTGCATTTCTTATCATCTGACTTTTTCTTCCGTGCTACAACTATAGTTAATTATGTTTACTAAGAATTCTGAGTAAGACATACATCACCCCAAAATATTAATAGGAATAATTTTTCTAATTTTGTTGGGCATAAGAATTACTTGGGCATGTTTTGAGAAATATAAACATCTGAGACCCATCACCAGCCCATGGGAGATTTAGGAAGAGAGCTCAGAAGTGTGTGTGTGTGTGTGTGTGTGTGTGTGTGTGCGTGTGTAACTCACCAATGATTTTAATAGAAGCACAGATTACTATAGCCGAAATTCTAGACTCACTCCCCAACACTAGCTGTCATCTCAACACGCTAAGACATACAGCCTTAACTCTGACCAATAAGGCTCACATTCTCTATCATGTAGCAGGTCAAGGGCTTTGAGAAAGGACAGGCAGAGCTGAAGGCAAACATAGCTCTGATGATGGTGCTGCTACTGTCCCCTGTCTACTCCCCTCAGGTACCAGTACTGACCTGGGTGAGTGATGGTGACCCTTTTAGAGCTCTCAGTGATAACAAACAGCCCCCGGTGGCACATGTGCCATAGACTTCCTACCATTAATCTAGATGCTATCTGTGACTGCTACTTAATCTTGCTGTTCTTAACAATTCTGGATTTGGTGTTGAATTTGCAACAACTAAAGTTTATGTCCTATAAGTTCATATATCACTTAATGATGCTGATTCATTCTGAGAACCACGCCATTGTGTGATTTCATCATTGTGCACACATGAGAGAGCATGCTTCCTCGCACTAAGATTGGGTGACGTCTCTAAGCCACTTCGACCTATGGAGCCAGCTTTATGTATGTGGTTTGCCATAGATATAACTGTTGTTGTAAGGTACACAAATACATTTCCTTTCACTGGTGTTTATGAGTTGTTCTTCATGCAGATACTTATTTTATCAGTGACTGTGACTATAGTTAGCTCTCTGAGCTTCAGTGTTTATTTGTAAGACAGGGATAACCATATGTAACATTTAGAATTGTAGTAAGATTGGAGAAAACATTAGAATATAAAGTTATCCAGCTAATAAAGCATCTGGAACATAGAAAGGATTGAATAAAATAGCAGCTCTTATGATTAGTGATTATGTTGGAAAATTTAAGATGATATGAACAATATAAATCAATACAGCAGTTAGTTTGAGAACGTTGAAGAATTCAGCTTTACACTGATCAAACATGCATACGCTTTTATCCAGTTGCTTGACACTTGGAGGTCCTGATTAAGAGGCCAAACATGGCTTGAGGGTCCTATTCACCTAATGAACGATCTAGGGAATTTAGCGAGTGCTTTTACCACTGCCTTAGCAAGCAAAACTCCTCAGTTCCTATGCTTGTTGGTTCTCAGAGGAGAGAAGACCTTCTCAAGGCTGGCTGTGTTCCCAGAGTTCCACATTTGATCACTTTGATTTTTCCCCAGCAGCTATAGAAAGGAACCTAACAGGAGGAAAATTTAAAATATTTCTATCTTATTTTGTTTTGCTTAGAAGCTAAACATCACCAATGCCCATTATTTGGATCTGAAGTTATTGCAAAAAAATATGTGGGGCTATTTTCCTTCAGACTTAAGTCACTGCATCAGATAATGTCCAGGTTGCTGAACCGGTGCAGGGTGCTGTAGTGGACTAAAGAAAATATACAGATGTTATGATAAAAAGGGAAGAATTAGTTCTCTCATGAAATTTACCCCAAATCACCCCAAATGCCTTTATAAAAAAAAGCACCAGCTCATTCTGCCGAATACATCTCTCCTTGTCAAAGAGATAAAAAAATGCTTCTTCTATACTAACAAATTTTTGTTTCTAAATAGGGTTTTAGTTAACAGTGCCTCATCTCCAATATGACCAAATGAACTCGTTTCTCTATATATCAGTTTCCCAAAATGTCTTTATATATCTCTTGTGTTAGTAAGAAATATTATGTCTCTTTGGAAACATTTTGGCAGGCATAGAGTTAATTTATGTGTAACATGCATGTGAATTATACCACGCCATCTTGGTTAGAGGAGTCGCCTGCCTGACCACTCAACACCAGGTAGAAATCTGTCACCAAAATCCTAGCAGAGACAGCAAGAGGTAAGAAAGCCTGTTTGGGCAGAAAAAAACAGAACCATTAGTTCTACAAATGGCTTGCCTACACCAGCACGAATACTTCCCATCAGGACACAGATTTCTTTGCTCTTTTATAGAGAGAGCAATAAATTCTTCTGCAATTTGCTGTAATAATAATTATACAGTACTCTTCTCGATCAATATACTTACAGATGATCTCAGATAATGACATCTACATAAATAGTTACCCCCTCTCCCCCCCCAAAAAAAGCTAAGGAAATTGAAGAATCTTCTAGATGCACATACTATTTCTGATTTTCTTCTTCTTCAACCATACTGACTCAGAGCCCAGGTTGTTACATCCCAGGACGCCGAAGTGCTAAAATACAAGGATGCTGCTTCTGGATGACAAAGCTGAGCTGCTACAGGGAGACTAATTAAAAACACTAATTCTCTCTACTTACAGATTGTCCTTAGTCAGCATTGGCCCTAGGGCACAGCTCCTCCTCCAGGCTGGCACTTTTCCTAAAGTAGAAGGTCTGTGTAGTGTCTGATGAGCTCTCTGAAGTGCTGCTAGGTAAAACTCTTAGTTCCGTAGACTATGATGACCAGATAGACCTTAAAAATTTGCCCTGCTAGTACTCCTCCCTCAAGACAGGATTAAATGTCTAGATATCTGATTAAAACTATCTTCACCACATTATTCAAAAGCTAAAGAAGAAGTCTTAAGAACCACAGGTGGGATAGATCTTCTTTCCCATTCTGATGGAGATCATTTTAAGATGTAAATCAGACCTCATTATTACTTGCCATCTTCCAGTGGCCTCTAAAATAAGCTCCAGAAACTATAACCTTTGTGACCTGGCCCCTCTCTGACATTTCATGCCGGTCTCTTCCTTGCCTGCTGTTCTTTGTACCCATTAGCACCTTTCTTCCCCCTCCTTCATCAAGTTTTCACCTTTGCCAGAGTCTCACCAGCTGTCTGGGATGTCCTGCCCCTTCCTTTTACAGTACTAGCTCCATGGGCTGCAATTGTATTTGTTTCTAAATTATACCCTCCACAATGTCATTCCCAACCACCAAATGCGAAGCACTCTATCAGTTCTCCCATATTGCCTTACTGTCCTTTTGGAAGAGGATTTATAACTCTCGGGATTTTCTGGTTTACTTTTCGTTGAATGTTATTGTGCTTTAACTCTTACACCTGAAATGTGAGTGTCATCTGTGCAGAAAATGTGCTCTCTTGCTCTCAGTCATGTTCTTTCAATCCCTCACTCTTGCTCCTTGTGGATGTATCCCTGCCTTCTAGAAGGTTGTCTAACGAATGCATAAGTGTTGTACTTGTGTTTGTGTGTTTGCATGTACATGTATTTGCATGTACATGTGTCATACACATAAGAGAATATAAAGCCTTGTCATTTCCAGATCAGCATAAGTTGATTCAATAAGATTTCTTTCTCCCTAACATTTTCTCAATACAGTTAAGCAGTTCAGCATTAAAATCAGAGGAATTGCAGAGGGATATATATATATATATATATATATATATATATATATATTATATACATTCTTGTGTAATAAAACATGTCTGAGAAACTTACTGCTTTAAGGAGAAAAATCTTAAGAGCACTGAGACCTCAGAACAGGAACAATGTTCCTTTTTCATCATTTTGGTTATGATGAAAATTGTGATGAGCAATAAAAGGACAGTTTTTTTGTTTTATTTATTTATTTTTTCTTTTCGTCATCCTTTTGTCCCTGTGATCTCTGTTTCTAAGGCCTAAAACTCAGGCCACAAGTTTTACAATTTCAGGTACGGGGCTGGCCAGATAGCTCAGCAGATTAAATCACCTGGTTAGGCAGACACAGGGGCTGGAGATTCAATGCCCAGCCTGCCCTGCTGGCCCTGCCCCCGGGACATGCTGAGACCGGGCGTGGTGGCACATACCTGTAATCCCAGCACTTGGGCGGTTGAAAAACAGGAGGGTCACTACAAGTTCATTCTGTGT